AAAATGTCAATTAAAATTCAAGAGAATTAGTATTTATGAGAGAATGAATAATGGTTGCGTAATATATAAGCATTTCAATAAGAATAAAAAGAACAAAGCGATAAAAATTCGAGGCGATAAGCCACGTTGCTGGTGAGCTTTTCTTACTTGTTACAAAAAGTTGTAATAAAACCTCTGAATCGAGGAACAACGTTCGACTCTACAAAGTATATGTCTGTATAATTACGCAAGCCACGAACTCAAGGTATAATTTTAGCAACATTGTATACGCACACTCGGCTCGAGGCAGTAGCGATTCAAACGTGCACGTAGACGCAAATGTTATACCTATTACGTGTGTATAAGAGGTAAAAATTCGCACTATTGAAGCTCACTCATAGAAGTGAGCTGCAGCTTGCATTCATACAATATGCAAGCCATGCATTTGTTTGAGTATGTGTGTGCGAGCGTGTTGCAGGCGGCGCGAGTCGCCCCGCGCGCGTGGAAGGGGTGTTAGTTGCGCGCTAAAGAAAAGTCGAGTAACCTTCTTTCGTTGCTGCACGCGTCAAAGCTCCAATGCTACTTATAGCGTACGTATATATGCACATGTGCAGGTGTGTACGTGCGACAGGCGAAAGAGATACTTAATAGCCGTGACGGGGCTCGTCGTATCCTCTCGAAGTTGCTCGCGAGCCGACGACTAAGCCGCGCCACAGCCAATGTACACTCACACGAGTGTGCCGAGAAATATATACATCGTAGCAGCGCATCAATAATTAAAGCTCCTCGACCGATGTAATAAGCCAAGAGTTCGCGTATCATTTTTACCTCTCGAATAACGACTAACTCTGACTGCGGACACATGTGCACATACTCTCTACACGCGTGCATGTAATATCGATCGAAGAAGGGAAAGTGAGGCTATAGTCGGCTGCCTATGCACTGCTCTCGATGTAAAAGAAAAGAAAAATACGAAAAAGAGTTGATGTCACGAATAGATAAGTGGACGGACGAGGCTCGTGGCTGCGTGGCTGCACATATTGCCCTCAACTTAGTCAGAATCTATATATGCGCTTTACTATTTTCGATCACACACCTACACACACGGGAGCAGTGCGCAAATACATACACACGCGTATTTCTGGCAGAAGCGGAATCGATCGACGGTGAACAGCCACGAATACATTAATAACCTAAGATCAGAAGCCATCGGGGCTGTCTTATTTCCAACCCTTACGTGCTGTGTGCGAAGTTTATTCGTGTATCTCGGTGGCAGCTATGCACCCAGCTATTTCGATTAGTGGTCTCTGCGATCTGACAAATACTCATTACGCTACCGTATAAAAATTTATGTACGCAATGGACTCAAGACTATGGATTTATCTTCATTTTTCAATGTAATTTTATTTTTTTGTGTATTCTTCTTCTTTGACGGGCTAAGTGAATATTTGAAAGCGCGATTAAATCCATTTGCAAAATAATCAAAATATAAATATTGATAGTCAAGTTTATGAAATTATTCAACAAAAAGAAAAAAACAACAATGTAGTTAAATCTGCTGCCTTGAAGTAAATTGTATACGATGTATGACATCAGTGAAACGTAGATTCTTCTTTCATAAATATACCATTTAGGGTCGACTCTATGGAATATAATCAGACAAATGAATATATTTATGCAACATATAGTCTTACTTGTGAGCGGGAAAGTCTGAATAACACACATTTTAAGACATAATATGTGCAGTTTTTGCCGTTCAAGACTGAATATACAAAACTCAAAGATACATTGTAGCTTTTGATTTCGTCATGTTAATCATTTTTATTGATTTTCTTTGATAAAACAATGTGAACATGATTTTATTGATATCAGTGTTTTGCTAAATTTTCATCAAATACTAAAAATTGGTTATTTATAAAGATGAGTTTTTGACAAAACTCTGCAAACAAGCGACCCACAACTCCACGTTGCTAGTTTTTTAGTGCTGATCTCGATCGGAGCGACAGCGTACTGGCGCCACTGATTCAAAGATAAAATTGTTCAACGCGTTGGATGATAAATTACCACTCTAAAAATTGCAATATCTCTGAAAGTTTTCGAGAGAGTGCGTCGAGTTTGTGTCGTGTAAATACTATAGTACGCGTACTGACACACACACACACACAGTTAAATGCGCAGTTTGCCTTTTTGTGCACGCATTTTCAATTCGCCAAATTCTTTGTTGAAAGTCCTTAAAAAATTGGCTTCAAGTTCAAACTTTTTATGTATCTAGTACAGTCTCGTTGGCCTGCAGATTCGGTTAGCAAAAACTCTTTTCATTTGTGTTTTTTCTCAGTAGAAAAAAGTATTTTCTTTTCGACTATGTGGCTCGTATATGCGTTCATTATATATTGGTAAATTGTAACCAGGGTAAATTTATTGATTTATTTTCAACAACGAGGTTACTAACGAGGTCTTTACTTCGATCTGACGAGCAGTTATTGAAATTACTATTTAGTCCATACGGAGAATGTTTACAAAGTATACCCAAGTTGAAACTATAACTGTTCCAATGAAAAAGTCGGTACCAGTTGTACATACCTCCGCATTGAATGTGTATTCTCACTTATATCAACATATACTTTCAAATAAATTAAAAAAAACTAATTCAAAAGAATCGCATACTTGTTTAGTAGATAATAAACGTCGAATTGATGTATTCATCTGTAATGAACTGATAGATTCTTAAACTTTGCAAAATGGAAATATCAAGAAGAAAGTTAGGTATAAAGTTGAATTGATATCCACATTCCATCGCGATAGGTAAACTGTTGATTTGTCATTTATCTATTCAAAAATGTTCGTGTTTAATGTTAATAGTAATAAATGTACACTTGAGCTCACTGTTTATTGAAACATTAGTATGTAAAGTATAATAAAATTATTCAAGATTTTTCTCAATTTTCACACGAAAAAAAACATTGAAATCGCTGTCAAAATGAAAATTTTTTACACTTCATCAGTTACATATATCATCTACTAAATGAATTGAAAGAGAGAGAGAGAGAGAGAGAAAGAAGAAAACGGACTATAGAAGGAAGAGGCGGAAGGAGAACGAACGGGATAATTGGAAAGGTCCGGGCTTTACTTCTATATATACTATAAGCCATAGCTGTAGCTTCCTCTTCGTCTCTCTCGTTCTCTTGCTTGCTTCTTTGGGCGTGCGAGTAGCAGCAGCAGCGACGGTGGCGGTGGCAGCAGCCCAGTAGTCTCTGACAAGAATTATCAGCGGGCCAGAGCCAGCGAAGGTAGCTAGCACGGCAAGCGAATTGAGTGAAACAGAGAAAGAGAGAGAGAGAGAGAGAGAGAGAGACAGACAGACAGAGGGAGAGAGAGGCCCGGGATCAATACCCTGGGCAAATGTCCACAGTGAGTGTGTATAGACGCACAGAACGACTAGCTCCTAGGAGTAAAAGCTGCCCCGGAGAGGCACAAGCGATGCACTCCTTTATTTACCGCGTATAACGGCTGGAGCTTTCTCGATATTTCGCCCTCTTGGAGCTGCTGCTACACAAATTAAAATTTTATACCTGCCAATTTGATAAATGCTTTGGCTTCACGAAACTTTAGTGAAAATAACATTTTCAACTTTTGTATTCTGATTCGCACTATTAATTTACAATGAAAAAACGAGAAAAAGTTGAATCCTACGTCTAAGCTACAAAATGCGATATTATGCGTGTTTACCTGTCACTCTCTATTACCAGCCAGTTAGTTCTCGTGTAGCAATAAAAAAATCATGACCTAAAAACTTTTTACATTCATAAAAAACTTGGCAGTGCTATTCAAACATTTTTTCCTGTTAAAACTCCAAAGTTCAGGATTTCTAAAGAATATTGAAATGAGTAATGTACCAAATGTGGTTCAAAATTATTTTTTTTTAAACTTTCACACGGAACACATTCAGCAGTTTGAAAAAATCACTTTTATGCATAAAATTTACCCACATTTTTTATTGCATTCGTATAGACTCGGATATGACTTTGAATAGAAAATTAAAAATTTATCAAGTCAAGTTTATCGCACTGAGGATACAAATGATGTTAATAATTTGAAATGAATATAATTAGGTTAGCAATTAAATCTATAAAATCTGTTTATTAATCATGCATACAAATATTTTTCGTTTTTTTGTTTATCATTATTAAAAAAATTGTGAATCATTACTCAAGAAAATATTTATGAGAATAGGGTTCACTGAAACATTTCCGTTAAAAGAAATTAATACGAATTGATATAGTTACTCTCAAACTACAGAAAAACTTTCTCTCCGCAAAACTTTGGTACTGGTTTCTTGCAAGTTTCTGCAGTGGTGTGCTTTGTATCTACTCAAAAAGGAAAAGTTTTCAGCAACGTCATATATACCTATTCATACCTTTAAAAGTACATACATTTATATATTACTCTACTATGAAATCTATTCAGGTGCAGGATGAAGTGCAAGGTCACCATTTGCTACATAACTTAAAGTTTAAGTGCTTCGTTAATTAGATTATATACACTATAAAACTAGATAATATCAAATTCAAGATCAACTGAAGAAACAAATGAGTAAGAAACATTAAATTAAGGTTGAGAGCTTTATTTAAGTAAAAAAACAATTTGTAATAATGATACGAACTAAAAATAAAACACAACTTTATGACTTAATAGTTATTTATGCAACAAGTGCGTCCAAAATGCGTTTTTGCGCACAGTGTATGCACGAGGGCTGACACGAGTGTTGGCACAAGTGGCTTGTTTTGCGCACACTGTGCGCAAAAAGCTGGGCACGTGTTGTTTACAAAATTTTATGCAATAGAATGTGAAAAGTGCATAAATGACAAGCATGACATTTCAAAAAATACCCGAAATTTTACCGCACACCAGTGTCCAAAAACGCTTTTTGTGCACTAATGTGCGAAAAGGGCATTTTTCGTCATACTGTTGCATAAAATAATTTAAAAGTAGTTATCTAAGAGAAATACATTAGTCTACAATAATTATCCTACGATAGGAATAAGTTGGTATTTAGATTTGGCTTCTTGAAGAGCTAATTTGGTTTCTGCCACGAGGGCCTTCAGATCTCCGTAGCTTTCCTGTCCAAATTCTCTCAAATCTTGCATGAGCTCTTTGACCGTTTTGAAGATTTCCTTGAATTCCTTGATATTTTCTCCCATTTTTTTAACTTCTTCGTATAAAGCCTTGATTTCTTCAATCACTTTTAATCCATGATCGAATACAATATCCAATTGCTTCTTCATTTTATTCCAGCTCTCCAGGCTTTGATTAAATACTTCTGACGCTTTGGCTCTTACTTTCAAAACCAGTTTACCCCATTTCAACTTTATTTTGTCGAATGTATTTGCAGCCGAAGTTATTTGTTGGCTTATACTTTTATCCATGTCAAGACTAAAATCATAGTCAAAATCGTCATCATCGTCGCAACCAAACAGCTGCAAGTTTAAAAAAATGTATTATTGTATGTTGTGCATTTTAAATGTATTTAAGTATATGAATAACTTACGAAGTCGTCGCACTCATCTTCGATTGGGATTAAAGAGGTGCTTTCAACCTAAAATCAAATAGATTAAATTTTAAAAATTATTTTAATCGAATGAAATAAAAGAAAAAGATATAGATATTTATGTGAACAATTGTTACCTCGAGCTCGAATTCTTGAGTTTCTTCAATTGGCTGGGCAAAAGCCAAAGTTAGGCCCAAGAGAAGAAGTGCGATCGTCTTCATGCTGATGTTTCAATTTGCTAGTTAAATTCGACTGTAGCAAATGTGGTTTTGTTCTGACTTTTATACTTTATCGAGTGCGTCTGTCTATTTATCGATCTGTGAATAACTGATAGCGAAAATAATAGATTCTTATCATTTTTAATGATTGTCTGTGAAGCAAAAGGCTAATTTTCGACCGGTACCATAATTATGGGAGATAAGTAACACTTATTTATTTTGCAGAACGTGAGCAAATTAAATTATTTAAATTCGCAGCTTTGAAAATCGGCATTCATACGATAGGATAGATTTTGTTTTAAATGTCGCAAGCTGTCCCAGTAAGACTAACTTTTTGAGGAGATTCTGACGAATCGCCTTTTTGCACGCGCAACCAAAATATGTACGTGAAAGTTGCAGTTTTCAAAGCTACACCCTTCTATGCGCGCACATTACGAGGCACAGACGAGATGATTGTGCATGCGAGCAACGACGGCGGTGGCGGCAGCACAGCGTGACCTAAAAAGATCACGACAACGCAATGACCTGACAGGCCGTTGCAGCAGCCGTAGTCGACACTAGTGGAGCGCACGAGAAAGCGAAAAATCACGTACACGGGGCGCGTAAAAAAGATCCCGAAAGAAAGAGAGAAAGAGACAGACAGACAGAGAACAAGAGGAAAGAAGGGGTCGCACGCGCGAGCTTCCCTGTTCCAGAAGCGTAAGGTTTGAAAGAAAGAAGAAAAATACCCGAATGCGCGCGAGAACGAAATGAAAGAAAAAACACGCGGGACGCGCTGTATATGATGGGCGAGAAAAGAAAACGTGATATATATATACTTACTACAATTTTACTACTACTGCTAGTGCAGAGAGATGATGCGCACGAATGAGAGAGAGAGAGGGCAAAAAAAAGAAAGAATGAGCGCTAGTAAGCACAAACGAGGCGAGTGCGGCGGAGTGGACCGACTATGTGCAACTATATATACACAAGTAGTTTTTTACCCTCCAGTGCTTAGAGTGCTTATATACATCAGAGGGCTGGCAACGAGGGTATGTATCTGTGTGCGAATGCGCATATGTGTGTTTCAATTCAAAACTTTGCATAAGCGAATATGTGTCTACGTCTGTGTGAGCGTTATGCAAATTTACCATTGATTTGCGAATACGAGCTTAGGGCTCAATTCTTTTATTTCACTCTCATTCTCTCTTCTCTCTTTTTTAGCGCGCGTGCATCAAGCTGAACTCTTCTAAAATAGTTTACGTGCGTCAAGAAAGGAATTAAGAAAGAAAGAGAGAGAGAGAGAGAGAGAGTACGAGAGTGAAGGGTTGACAAAAACACAATCGTTTATCTTGTTGGGCGCTTATTTCGTGCTAGGAAAAAAAAATGCTGTTGCTATCTCATCATTGCAATGATAATTTTTTTTTCTCGGCTGGCCAAGGAGATTGGTCTCATGCACTTGTTTTGGGGTATCGTGTCGACACTTCTAAGCTTGCACGAATTTCACAGTTGCTGCTTTTAATGTAGCTACGCACCATCTTTTTCATTATTTATTTTCATAAAATTAAAAAATACGATAATTTTTTTCAACAACACGTCTTTGTTATCATCATTTCTAAATTTTCGAAAATGAAGACACTGTATCTGAGACCTTGAAAATGAATACTTAATTATTGAGTAGTTTTATTAAGCAAAATAATACAATTAATTTCCGAAAAAAGTAAAGTTTCGTTATCTATTGCAAATAAAGGTTTATTTATATGAACACGTTTTTAGAATACTTTGACGAAAAATGTTAAACAGCTGGATTCAAAATTTTAATCGTGTAAATCTATGATAATATTTCGACTATTCTTCGTATTAGCCAACGTGTTTACTTTCAGACATATCACGTGTAAAGATAAAGGTGTTATACTCGTAAACATTTCTTAGTTTGTTTGTTTCATGAAAATGGCCAATGTTTAGATATGAATGTAATTATTATTGAAATGAATTAAAAATAAATGGAAAAAGTAAGCTTACGGCAGATACTTTTGAATCGACAACTTTTTAACATTTTTTGTATATTTTTTAGTATAAAAGTAACATGATAAATTCCAATCTATTGTTAATTTAAAGCTCTCACAAGATTTTCAACTACTAAAAAAACAGCAATAATTGTTTACTGCAAAGGTTTTAAAAGATATTGGTTAAATATTTCTAAGAATATTTTAACCCATCAATTTTTTCCATTGCAATTCTCCTATAGACAAAAAGTGCAAATCTCTGGATCTTCCCAAATAAAATTTTTAAATATGTATTAAAATAAAAGAGACTTATACATAAATAGTGATTGACTACATCTAATCGAAATCGATAAAATCAAGGATACACAACGATGATATTGGCTAGTACAGAAAACTATGTTAATTCAATAGAATAATGATGAAAAGATCGAAAGAGCGAAGGAAAAGTTAAGGGCGAGTAGGGTCGGCGATTCGGGCAAAAATTAATAATATTCTTTGTTTGGGCCGATAAATATAAAGAGCAGAGGTCTGCTTGGACGCTGCCGGCAATTATAATTAATCTCTCGTGTAAGTATATAGCGTCTGACGACGCATGCACGCGAGTGTGCATATATGCTGCGGTGCGCGCGCGCGAAAAAATTACACACGCGCAGCCATTCGCTTACACGCTCACGCAGGCCAATTAGAAGATGGCAATTATCAATTTATACGTAGCTATACATGCAAAGTCGGAATGTATCTGGGCACAAGAGTGCGTCCGAGCACTAACAGGCAATATCGATGCTTTTTCTCTTTATCTTTCTCTCTCTCTCTCTCTCTCTCGTACTGTATGATTTACGTGTTTATACAACGCACTCAGGCTGGTGCAGCGGCGACTCTTTGGCGGCACGTGACCCGCTAACGCATCCGAGCCGCAACCATCGAGTCAGCCATCCAGTCTGCACGCGTGTGCTGCACTGACCCCTTTATTTAGCCCTCCGCCGAATGCAGAGCGCTGCTTTTATTTTTTCAATTGCCAACTCGCGAAAGTGAAAATCGTCGTAAAATTGCTTTTCCATTGCAAAGCGACGATCCAATCGGTCGGAGTAACATATCTCACAGGCCGACATCAGCGTGCACGCGTATCGTGTACACGGCAACGCATCGCCAACTGCACCAACCGTGAAAAAAAAAATAACGAAATAGCCAAGCATGACGGTCCCGCTCGTAGCTGAAAAATCCTGCGAATCGTCAACTGCATGTGGTTCCACTTAATCGCTCTCGGTATTGCCGATGCGAGATGTGAATTAAAACGCTCTCAATTTTTCCAGCTGTGCGCTTGTGTGAAGGTATAGTGGTCTTGCACGACCTTTTGACTCGATACTCAAGCGCTTGCGTGTATGTTTTAGCGTCATGAGAATTTCGAAAGAGACGGCTTTTTAATAGAAAATATCTATTATTCATAGATAAAATTATTATTTTGTTTTTAATACTTTGGTCTTTTCAGCAAACTATTTTGAACAACGCAAAAAAACAAAATATATAGAGCATTTATTACTACCAACCAGATCGAGACGTTTAAAAATATTTTTTTATGATTTTCAAAAACTCGATTTCTTAATCAGCAGGTAAATCGAATATTCCATTCTTTTCATCGCGATCACTTTTTTATATTGAATAAAAATACCTACTTTTGGATTTTTGTCGAAAAAAAATGTTTTATTCACTGTTTTATACATAATAAACTGACGATATTCCCCCTCATTCACGTACGTATTTAAATTTTTACCCACGAACTTAAGCTTTGAAAATCCTTCGACACCTGTTACCGTCAATTTTGATATTTTGAAGAGCTTATTTTTTATTGGAAACCTTCAAATTTTCATTTCAGCATTCATCCTAGGCTATACAAGAAAATTGTCTTGAAGCATCTTGGTCTACTTCAAGCACGCTGAAGTCTCTGTAAACTAAGTGTTACTACGTACGAAGTGTTCTTGCGAAGAGCTTAATGTTGATCTGGGTCGTAATTATTTATAATAAATGTCACAAACGAAAGTAAAAGTGCAACTTTTACTCTAGTTTTTTAATAATCTTAACGAGCCATTTTATGTTAAGTCTCAAATGGCTCGCCCCCGCAGCATTATTAGACAAGATCGTACAATTTCTAACTTGCTAGGAAATTCCCTAAATCCTCACCCAAAAAATTAGTGGCATACGATTTTAATAGGGAATTATTTCAGTTTTCCAACGAAATATCTATTTTCTAGAAGACTGTTTTTAAATTGTAGCGAAATATAGAGAGAGAGAAAAATAAGTGGTGTTTTTTTTGGGTTTTTGCATGTCCAGCTACCGTACTGCGCGTCAAAACTACGTTTTTTTCTTTCTCTCTCTATAGCTATTTCGATGGAAAATTTCCTTCTCTTTAAATCGCTTTTTTTCAACTTTAATGGTTTACATAGCTTTGGAAAACAGAATTTATTACTATTATATATTTTTTTTAAAACTATATTTCAAAAACCATAAGTTCCATCATTTGAAAATTTAACGCGATAAAGTATAACTGTTAAAAAACACTGTAAATAACTTTTCAGCTGGAGATATTGAAAATTGTCGATTTTCCATCAGCTTTTCGTGGTCAGTCTGTTATCCTTCGGTAGTCAGGATATTTTCTGACAAAATCATTGAAAACTAAAAATTCGACATATTTCTCAAAGTTTATACTCTTGGCGAGTGATTGAACGAAGGAAAGAAAAAAACGAAATTTGATGATTTGGGGCAAGTTAAAATGATTTTTTTTGTCCATATTGGTCTAAGATACTCACATACTGGACACAAAATTGAGCATATTGGGCACAGCAAAGTTCAAAATTAAATTTTCAATCCTGTTTTTTGAAATTTTTACGAATTATTTCTGTAAACGGTTCTATTTTGACCTTCATTTTGACGTTCTACAGCTTAGCATAGAAATTTGTGGAGAAACAATTCGCGAAAACTGGATTAAAAATTTAATTTGTAATTTGGCTTCACCGACTATTTAAC